GAAAATGCAAACAACCGCACAACGCGTGAAAATTGTTAAAACCGACTACAAAATATTATGATTCAAACGTGGATAGGTTTGTGCTTAAAGAGTAGATTATGGTGCTTTTGATGGTCCAACTAACTGCTCAAGTAGTTGGTAAAATTTTAAAGAAATTTGAAGGCCTGTACATCTTCGTTTTCCTCATTCCATCTCAAATATCGCTACTGTAAGTGAAATTTTTCGCCGTATGTGTCTATTTTGTGACGTACTCAAGAGCTGTAGCCCTTGCTGGTGCTCTACACTTGCACTTACTTCTACATCCATATTAAGTCCAGCTCACACAACAACTAAAGTCAGCTACCCGCTCTCAACGCCGTGCATACATCGATACGGTGCTCGAAGAACTAGCAGCGACGTGGCACATTTCTCACTCCGACAAGCCTCAATTAATTGAGGAGAGGTCACGACATCCAAAAAAAACTTACTGTCTGTGGCGCTCTTTGGTCTTTATTTCTTTGAAAACGACAACGGCGAGAATGCTGCAGTCAATTCTGTGCGTTATGATCGTTTGAGAACAGACTTTTTTAACCTGGAATTGAAGAACACGACTTGGACAATATGTGGTTTCAAGAAGATGGTGGCCACGCGCCACGCAAGACGAACGAATATGGCTTTATTGCAAGAGAAATTTACCGCCCGCGCAATCTCTCGTCTTGGCGATGTCAATTGGCCAACGAAATCGTACGATTTGACACTGCTGAACTAGCCCCACAATGCGAGCGGTCGAATTTACGCGGATAAACCTTTAACTCTTGAGCACTTGAACTTATGAACTTGAACTTATGGCTCAGATAAGCCCAATATATGCCAAAAAGTGATCGAAAATTACCCCAAACGGACCGAAGTTATCAAAAAATTACGATTCGATCATTTGAACGATGTAGTAGTAGCGTTTCACATATTATATAATGCCAAGGTTCAAAGTTTATAATAAAAAAGGAATTTCATAAAAAAAAAATTACTGTAAAATTACCCGATTTTTTACGAAACCGTAAAATGGATAGCCCGTATAATAATATATATATACATATATAGTATATTATTAAATAAATAAATATATAGTATATATTTCTATATATCTATATATATATACATAAACACTATATATGGATGAGTGGCGTATTCGCCTAATAAGTTTGCTCGTTTGTTCGTTTGTTCATAAATAATTAGTTTTGCCTCGCACAAATTACATTAAAAATGCACAAATTCATGAGTTGCGTTTACGTTTTGTACCTAAAATGCGTGAACATTCGTTTGTTTTTGTGCCTCTTACCATTTACTTTTATTTACATATGTACATTCATACATACACACAATAAAAAGGGATGTTGGGGAAATCAAAATGGCGTTCGCGCTGGGGGGGGAGGGGAAAAACTGACAGTCAACGATTTATGGGTGGTTGAGCTTTGTATTTAGATATATATATACCGTTATATGTATGTATGTATGTATAATTATAAACGAAAGCACAAATTTCCAACGCATAACTGTAAAGTAAAACGAAGAAGAACAAAAAACTCTTTTCTAAATTATAAATTTTTTTTATTTCTAATTTTTTCACTTCCGTAACCCTCACTAATGCAGTCCTCGCTTCTCTCCATCTCTCTGCAGTTGAACGAGGCAGCATGCTGAACTTCGAATGGAACTTTCATAGCGAAATGTTTGCTTGCAACAACTCAGTTAATTATTCACGCAATGTCGCTGAACAGCAACAACAACAAAAACATTAACAACAACAACAAGTGCTGTTGAGTTGTTGACAATGAATTTTTAGTAGGTAAATGAGATAGAGTTAGAGTTAACAGTCACTCAGTTACACAGTCGGGCAGACAAGACGACAGAGTAGATCGACAAGGCAGGCGTCTAGGCAGGCTGTTGAGGCTTTTTAATATTTATGAACACAACCGATTCACTAATTATAATTAGGAATTGAAAAGTTAGTAAAAGGATATTTGATGCTCTCGAGTGCTGGTATATGCATGTGCATGTATGTGTGTGTGTGTGCAAAGGTTGACGTGTTTGGAAAATTAAACATTTTGCCGTTTTACTTTGACTTTGAACAGAAATATGGAGTTGTGTTCGCATCTGTATGCTTACATACATACATACATACATAAATTAGTATTTATATAAGTAAATATCAAATGATGTGGTTTAATGGGGTGTACATAGTCAAGCTTCTAGGCATGCAGTTACGGTCATAGGCTACACTCAGTTGCTTCTCTTGCGGCTACGTCGCACACCTTGCAAACATTAGGATCCTCTTGCAAGTTATGAGGTACGCAACCCGTATGAAGCTTTGAGTCACGGCTAAAAGAGAGATAGTTTTAGTGGAGCCACTCCGACAGATTCGGTTTGAGGGTTCGCTGAAGTCTGATTGGCACGGTTTGTTTACCAGAAGTGCGGTTGCGAGTGGGCGTCGGTCTAGAAAGATGTTGCACGCTATATATGTATGTACACATATAAGAATTTAAGCCCACTCGCCTAGCAAGGTTGAGCGCTGTGTTTGGGACCCGGCACCTAGAAACTTGCTTCTATGTAAAGCATAAGAACGCCTCGGATAAGAGACCTCACATTTTTTATGTCAACCAAAACAAATGTATTAAGGACCATGATTTAGCGAGATGCACATAGAACGTCAGATCTCTTAGTTGGGAAGTTGCCGCATCACAGCTTCTTGATGTTCTCATAAAACTAAATGCTAACATCGAAGAAGTTCGATGTTCTGGAACAGAGACGGAGACGAATAGGCCCTTGCGCCATTTACTACAGCTGCCATATAAAGGAATGCAAGCTTGGTGTTGAATTTGGCGTGGGAGAGAGACTCAGTCGCCTGGTCATGGCATTCACCGCTGCTGGTGAACGTCTCGCAACAGTCCGCATCAAAGCGGAGCTCTTCAACGTATCGCTCACTTACGTCCACGTCCTCTGGAGCATACTTATGTGTGCTGCCACCGCCACTATGTAAAAATTTTGCTTGGCGACTTAAACGTCAGAATGGGCAATGAAGCTATCTTCGATGCAACTGGCGGTAAATTCAGCCTTCACGAGGAGACACCAACGAATAGGTTTGAGCCTGGCTCCGAAATCAAATGAGGTTTCAGACAAGGTGTCTCCTGCAGAGCTGAATAAAGAAGGTACAGTCTGCTATAAAGTACAATCTTCCATAAGATGTAGAGTTGTTGGCGTATGCCGTTTATATTAACCTCAACAACCGCGCCGTGGGTTATGCTTTCTCCACACTGGATAAAGAAGGGAAGCATATGGTTCTGGTAGTGAACGAGAACAAGACGAAATATCTCCTGTCGGCGTTAGGAGATTCGCGTTAGGAATAGCGAATATTGCAAACAATGGGAAGATGAAATGTGCGACATATTGCAGAGTATCAAGAGGCAGCGGCTATGCCGACTAAGTCATGTGTTCCAAAATACTCTAATTTTGAAAAGATGAAGAGGAAGATCCCCACTCTGAATTCGGCTATAATGACGGAAACGGTGCCTATGTAAATAAAGAAGAATAAGAATAATTTCATCTAAAATAGCCCGTGGCTGCAAAACATTAGAAGAATCAATTAAGTTAAGCGAGGAGGTTAATAACAACAAACCGATGCTCCCATTCACTATTGAACTATTTTATAAACGATAGCATAAAAAGTAAAGAATTTTTACAGATCACACACTTTATTTGATCACGGAGTTAAACTCAGTGCATTCTATAAGAAATAGTAATTTCTCTCGCCCTGTGTTGTGTTATTATACCAATATATTTGAGTCACTCTGTGTCGACATTGCCTTTAGTGAATGCTAAAACCGCTTATTGAAGAAGAGAATTGCCAGCGTTAGCTCAGACGCACACCTTTTGGCGCCGTCATATTGTTATTGAAACAGCGTATACAGAAAACAGCTGACAGGAAATATTGTACATATTCACACACATCGGAAATGAAATACATAAATGCGGAAGTATAATTAAATTCGTTAAAAGTGAGAAGACAAAATTTGTTGTTGATAAAACCATGCAAAACCAACGCATTGAGTTCCAGAAGGCTGAGATGCATGACGAAACTTTGCAGAAAGTTGCCACAGCTGGATTCTATGCACTGATTTTCAATGAGCCGCTACATTTGACAGGGGATGCGAAGGTATTAAATAAATTTAACGTGTTTCTATTTTATAACTTATCATTTTTTAAGGATATATGAATTCAAATTATGTACACTATTTAAATAATTTTTTTTAACATGAATGATGTGAAATGAATTTCAATTCTTGCAGAATGGTCTTGGTTTTCTGTATGTCGATTTTACTTGGTGAACTGTTAAAGAATCGTGTTCTAAATATGATCTCTCTCTAAGGATGTGACTTCATCGCCTAGAAATGTATTTGAAGATAACGAAGGTGAAAAATTATTTCTTTTCGGAGTTGCACTCAAATAAATATCTCCAGGTGACATGAAAAAGATTAATCTCAACTTGAGCTTGTGCACAGTCACGGACAGATGTACCGCCTAGTATAAATGCTTTGTAATACAATACGAGAGTTCCACAAGATTTTCAAGGATTCACATCTCAAGCGTGAAGCGATGTATTATAACACTTCGGTATCAAATTATGAACTCATAAACTCAAGATCTGAGGAATAAAATTAATCCCACCAAGAATCGTTTCCGAATCCTCGCCTGATTACGGTATAAAACCGTTGAAACAATTGGTTTCCTACACGGGGTTAGGAAAACCGCTGCAACCACAACAACAGCAACATGGTACTACAATAAAGATTAGCGCAAAACAAAATCATACGCAGGTATTTAAATAGGCAAAATTTACTTTTAAAACACCATACAGAAAAATGTTAATATCGCAATCCGAAAAGAAATTAAACTTTTCTTGTGGCTTTCATAGAATTTGTTAAATAAAAGATATTCACATACATTTCGCTTAAATGTAATGTCTTTTTTTATTTTATATATTCCACTTTATTGACTATTTTAACAAAAGTAACAAAGTCTTCGCGACAAATAATTCTTTTTCTAAATATTTCGATAATAATTATATACAAATGTGCATTAAAACTAATTAATGAGTGAATGAACTAGATTTGAAATTAAAACTAAGTGCGTAAAGGAGGTATTTTTATACCTGCCATGTACATTTATGTATATGCCTATGTATGTTCGTATGTTTCTTTAAAGGTACAATAATTAGCCGGTGTTGAGGTGCTTCATTGAATGTATTAGCGTGCTGAAATCACAAAAGCAATAACATCAACATACTCTATATGTTGATACTTGTACATACATATGTATGTAAGCCTACGCGTTGTTTATAATCGAAAAATATTTAATCGACAACGCATATAAATTGCAAAGCTCTACGTTAATGTGGGAACACTGCAACCGTTATTCAAACGATACTCAGCATAGACAAGGCCTGAAAGTATTAAGCAAAATAATTAAAAAAAAAATCTAAAATATTTTATTTTGCTTGTAAAACTATTTAAAACTCACCAGTGTTGTGCCAGTGATAGAAAGCAGCCAAAATGAATAGATGCCACCAATTGTGCGAGTGTCCAACATAATCGACTTTGCCGGTGAGCCAACGCTCAGGAATTTTAGCTGCATAAATGACGAATGCAATGGCGCACCAACCGTACATAACAATTATACGCGGCACCATTAGCTGAAAATTATGTAAATAAAGATTTATAAAAATTTAAAAAAAAAAGTTTTTAATAATTTAAATTTTTTAAATTTTTTAGAATTCAATATATGTCTTGTCTTGTACTCACCCGCACCAACTCATTTTCGAAACCACCCATCACATAAGTCCAATGCGCTAATGGTATTATACCGTAGGCCGCCCACAGCACCAACACAGCGATTTTTGCATCCAATGAGACATTCAATTTCGGTATCTGCACCAACATTGCCAAACCAAACATACACAGCGCAATCACAGAGTAGATTAAGCGAAGAGTCTGAAAATATCAAAAAGTCATGAGCTAATACAAATGTGTATGTATATGATATATATAAATATATATATACATAACAGTTTTCAATTTTTTCACAAATAATTTTAATACTCTTCGTCTTTTATGAAGAACCATTAAGTTAGCACTTTACAACAACTACAGGTTAAATGAAAATGACAGTCATTAAATGTGTTGATAATTTGCTTTTTAATTGGGTGAAATAGAAAATCGCTGACTTGCTTGGTTAATTTTAAAAATAATTTTACAATTTAATAAATTTTCCTGTCGAATAAAAAAAAATTACTCACCTTAAAACACCAAAACGCATAATACATGCCACTTATGTAAATCGCCACCAATGACAAACAAATGCCCAAAAAGTCCACCGACAAAAAGAAATCATAATGTTCCTCCGATTTGCAAGAGAATATATGATAAATTGAGGAGAGCAACATGCATAGGCAGAAGCAGACCAACAAACATACAACCAACACCTGATCGCTGATATCCGCGTGAGTTTTAAGAAATTGGAAATCGATTATGGTTAAGCCGATGAAGAGTAGACAGCCAAAGAGATGGCTCCAAATGTTGATCTGTAAGTGGAACATTAAAGTCAAGATTATTTACTATTATATTATATATTATTTTAATTTCATTTTATTTTTTATGTGGTTCAAATGATAATTTTTTTTTTACTTCATTAAATATTATTTTGTTCTTTTTGATATTATTTTTTTACTTTTATATAATTAGTATCATCATAGCATTTTAAAAAGATATCATATTTTTACCTTTTTAACTTATTTTATTTAATTTTTATTTTAATATTTTTTTGATTTTTATTTTTTCAATATTTTTTTTTTGATTTTTTTAAATTTTTATTTTAATTTTTTATTTATTTTTTTTTTTTAATTTTTTATTTTTTTTATTTTGGTAATTATTTTTTTATGTTACATTAATTATTTATTTCTTTTTAATTAATGGTTTTTTTTAATTCTTTTTTGTTTAATTAAATCATTTTATTCTATTTAATATATTATTTCAAACTACTTAATTTCGTTTTGCTTCTCATTATTTTATTAATTTAAAGATATTTAAATTTATCTTAGCATATTTTGTGAGATAAATTTATTTATTTTATTTTTTATTTTATATTTTGTTTTTTAATTTTATTTCATTTATTTTACTTTATGTTATTGTATTTTATTTCATGTTATTTAATTTAATTTATTGTTATTATTTTATATTATCTTGTATTATTTTATGTCTTTTTTACTTAATTTAATTTAAGTTTTCTTAATTTTTCTTTCATTTTATATTTTCTAAGCAATTTAATTTTATTTTTGCTACATTTTATTTTATTTATTTAATGTTATTTTATATTACATTATTTATTTTGCTTAGTTTTTTTATTGAATATTTTTTTGTTTTATTTATTTTATTTATTTTATATTTTGTTTTAAATTTTTTTGTCAAATATATTTTTTTTAATTTATTTTTTATTCTTATTTTTATCTCAATTTTTATTTATTTTATTTAAAAATATTTTGTCATGTTTTATGTTGTTCAAATAATGATTTTTTGTTTTACTTTATAAAATATTCATTTTGTTTTTTTTTATTTTAGATAATTATTATCATTACATCATTTTAATTAAATTAATTTTATTATTTTTTAATTATACTTTCTTTAACTACATTTTGTTTTATTTTGTTTCGGTATTTTTTTTTAATTTATTTCTTTTTTATTAATGACATTTTATTTAATTTATCTTATTGTGTTTAATTAAATTATTTCGTTTTATTTTATTTAATATTTTACATATATTTTTTAATTCTCCTTGTTTTATTAAAGATATTTAAATTTAACTCATATATATTTTACTTGTATGAAATAAATTTATTTTATTTAACTTAATAATTTCAATTATTATTTTTATGTTATTTACTTTACGCTTTATTTTATGTTATTTTTTTTTAATTTTATTTTATTAAATATATTTCTTTTGTTTTGTTTTACTTTTTTATTTTTATTTAATTTTTTGTCATTTTTAATTTATTTTATTTTTTATAATTTTTTATTTAATTATATTTATTTTAGTTTTTTTGTTTTATGTTTCATATATTATGTTTTCTATTGTTTTATTTTAATTGTATATTTTGCTTTGTTTTATTTAACAGTACTTTATTTTTTATTTAATTCAATTTTATTTTCTTTTATTTTATTTTATATATTGTTTATTTTATTTTTTTCATTTAATTTTATATTAATTATATTATATTATTTTTTTCTTATGCTATTTTAATTTATTATACTTTTTTATTTTCCTTTTTTCTTTTTTTATTTTCTTTTTATTTTTTGTTTGTTTATTTTATATAATTTTTTATTTTATTTAAATTTATTTTATTTTATTATATTTTATTTTACTTTATTGCATTTTATTGTAATTTATATTTTTTGATTCTTTTTATTTTATGTTATTTTGTTTTACTTTATTAGATTTTATTATATTTTAATTCAATTGGTTTTATTTTATTTTTTTAGTTTACTTTTTTGATTTTTCTTTTTTCTATTTTTTTATTTTCTTTTTATTTTTTATTTGTTAATTTTATGTTATTCTTTTATTTTATATAATTTTTTTATTTTATATAATTTTTTTATTTTATTTTAGTTAAATTAACTTATTTTTACTCACAGTCTCATTGGTCCACCAGAAGACACTTTGCAGGCATAATTTTGTGGAGAGGAATGTACGATAGCCTCGACGAATGTAAGGATTAAACTTAAGATGATCGGGTGCCTGAAAATCATAATACATATATCATAGATTAATGACATTTAACAAATTCATATATATAAATGTACTAGAGTATGTAGAAGGTTAATATTGTTAGTAATCGATTACTTTGTATTAAAATTGTGTTCAATTTAAATTGAATTGTCCTTCTGGCAAGGCTTTGTAACCTTCTTTATTTTCAAATATGTACAAATATTTATGTCGCTGTATGTATGTATGCGCACGCATAATTATGCAATGCGTTCCGAATGCAGAAAGTTTCATTGCTATCATTTTTCACATTATGCCTTTGTACAATTGAATGCTTGGAAAAAAATTGGTTGTCGCTTTATTTGACACGCACGCATATATTTATTAATGCAAACAAAATATGTACATACACACACGCGTGCATATCTTCTTCCATAAACATAAAATATGAGTATCGGAATAAGCAAATGCACGGAAAAACAACACGCCTTCCGAATTCAATAGCTTTTTTACATGTAATGCATTGTAATTAAATTCTCTTCAAATACAATTTGACACTTTGGCATTGCTAATGTTGTTTATTTGTATACAAATACACATGTATAAATGTATATGTATATGTTTATATTATACTTTATAATTGGACACAATGAAAACCACGACAAATTGCCAATTTGATGCCAAATATAAATAATATAAATAAATTTATTTGTATAATACATATGTATGTATGCGCCAGAAGAAGCAGCAGCAACAGAAGCAGCAGCAGCGTCAAGTCCAAGCTGAAACTGAAACTTTTCGCTCGCCAACAAACTAGAGGTCATTGTTGTCTCTTCAAAATTGATGGCGTAGCGTCGATGACTTGCTGGGCTGGGTTTTTACATGTTTCGTTGTTATTGTTGTTTTTGATTTTCGCTTCTTTAATATTTACATTTGAACATTTGGTTAGCGCGTTGACAGCTTTTCAAAGACAACCAAAATAAAATGTTAATAACTTGACCTTGATTTACTTTGTGCGCTTGCTCTATAACGGGTTGAGTTTGATGGTTTATTATTGTTGTTGCATAAATTAATAGGTACCAATTTTTGGCGAGCGAATTAATTTTAAGAATTTTAAGAAGGTTTTAATTTTCATTTATATATTTAATGTATGTATGTATGTAAAAAGCAGACTTATCTTTTTAATTTAATTTTATAATTTTTTGCTGATTTAAATTAATTAATATTTACGATTAGTTTAAATATTTGTTAAAAGATTGTCATAAATTAAAGAGCGAAAATATTTATATACATATGTATGTATGTATGTACACCTCTTCAAGATAATTAAGCAATAAATGCTAGTCATTTAACGTCGTTTTTACATAGATGTATGTTTGTTAGTGTTTTTATTCGCGTTTACGGCACGTGAATAATATAAATTAAAAAAAAGCAACAATAAATAATGGTGCTAATAGTTTTTGAACGTCTTCTAGGCAAAACGAAAGTTGAAAGAAAATGAATTAACTACGAGATACCGAGCAGATTCCAACAAAAAATATATATGTGTTTTTTTTCAATTTTTTTTTATAAATTAAAACTTTAAATGTTTATTTATTTTATTTCACAAGTTTTACGAAATTCACTTAGAAGCTGATAGAGAGAAATGAGTTTAATGTAAATAAAAAACTTCTGATTTTCCCGGCGAAGAAATGAAGACGAATAACAGAAGCGCAATATTTTTAAGCAAACAACTGTTAACAGTAAATTTAAAATATCTATATTTTGGCAAAAAATGCCTTAAATGCTTAAAAGATTTATTACAGGTTTTTTGAAATTTTTTATTTAATTTTTTCATTTTATTTTTTAATTTAATCCCTTTCTCTTAATTTTTTTCTTATTAATTACTAAAATTTTTTTTTATTTTCTATTTGCACTCACATCTTCAAAATTCAATAAGGTTTTAAATTGCATTAACTTCTCTGCGGTTAATGGATCAGACTTTTCCTCAGCCGGCGTGCCATGGCCCAATATATTGGGTTCTTCATCCACCGGAAATTGATGTGCATCCACAACATGTTTGAGGCCTTCAAGCTGCAAAGTGAAAGAAGAAAAAGAAGAAGAAAAAACAAAATATAGAATTTAGTATGAACGTGTTGAAAGAGATAAATTAATAATTGACGCAAAAATGCCAAAATAAAAGAAAATTATTTAGACCCAGAGTTATGCATATTAAGTATACATATATACATACATTCACACGCATATATGTATAGGCTACAATTCGAAGAGAAAAATAGCATTCTACTACAATACAAACACACATACCACTTTAAAACTTATTTTTAGACAACGCAAACAGAAATATATACTTATATTCTTAAGTATGTATGTATGTATCGAAAAATGTTTTGCAACAATAAATTGTAGCTTCTCGCTGCATGATTCTTTGCGAAAATTCTTCACAATCAGTAGAGGTCAATTGGCGAGTTTCCGCATTTTATTTTTTAACTTTTTTTTTGACATTTTAATTTGTGTCTCAGTTTTCCGTTTGAAATATTACCGTTAATTACGCCAAAAGGTAAAGAACTCACAGCTACTAATTTGCATATTAAAGAATCACATTTTGATACCTTTCTTGAGCATGAAATGGCATATTAACTTTGGTTCGATGTATGTAAGCACCAGAGGGTGAAGAGAGACACTCGTCATGAGTTTCCAATCCACAAATATGGATTTTTTCGAAGAATCTGTACGCTCAAACGTCGCATGATGCTCACAAAGTATACTTTATATGGCCTCTGAATAGCTGGACTGTTCCGCGAGAGCGCAACCACACAAAAATCAAAGGATAGCGTCAGCCATAGCTTGACTTTTGATTGACTTAGAAGTAGGTTTCTCCGTTTCTGGGCATTTTAGACCTTTTAACAAACTTTGGTGTCTTCCAAATAACTTTTTAGTATTCAACGTCTTAGCCTTTCGGCACTGGTCGAGCGGCAACATATTTCACGCCTAAGACAGGTTGGTTTCGCGCAAGATTTTTGGTTATGTTAGAGAAGGACCTGACTGTACTTGGTATTACCGATGGGCGGCAAACAGCAAAAAGAAGAAAAGAATGGCGCATTGTTGTAAATCGGCTATAATCGCTTAAGCGGTGTCCACGCCACTAAAGTAAATAAGTAAGTAATTAAGTAAGGCAGGTATGTGGGTAGAGTGAATGTCTAACGATGTACGTAGGCCTCTAAGAAGTCCATTGTGATCAAAATAGAGCTAAAGTTTCCTCACACTACCATGCCCCCTTTGAATCACCTTGTGGTTTTAATAAAGCTAATTCAATTAGATAGTTTAATAGAAGCAACTTCTGATATATATATCGTCAAGAAAAATGATGCCAATAGTTGTGTACCTTTCCCATCTAAAATATTTTACCGTCTCTTCTTCTTCGACCTCTTGCAGTAGTCATTATATGACACCCCCAGTCTACTGGCAAGTCTACCAATAAGGCAGTGATCCGTTAGCACGTCTATTAGAATCTTGACGCCTAGCTGGTTCATATGTCTCATAGTTAGCCTGGCTATATCTGCGCCCTGGCATCCCGCAGATCAAGCACTCTTTCACTATCTGGTGAGATCCTGAATGACTTTAGTGATTACGGAGCCGCTTGACTATCTGTATATATGTACATATATAAATTATTTTTGTACTAAGAACTCTCTATAAGAGAACCAGCAGACTCTCTTTAATGGCTCAAAAATACTGCTACTACTGTGATGTAAAAAGACGTCGCGTCATACTCGATTTTCTAATTTGATTGATCGATTGAGCTCAACGACGGTTGTGACAATTCGCCAAGAAAAATACTTTTGAAAATGCCTTGTGTAAATAAACGAGGGTTGTCTTTTATATTTCGGCAAAAAAAAAATTAATCATAGAAAATTGCTTTATTGCTTTTTCAAAATATTCTTTACTTTTAGAGGCGTTCAAGCCAATTTTCGAAGTGCTCTAGCCACTCTGTTGAGATATCTTCAAAACAGACATTCTGAACACATCGACTGGCTTTAGGTGTCTCAGTTTAATTTTTACTTGTCGGCATAAAAAGAAATCATTCAGTGCCAAGTACGTCAGATGATTCATCAAATCAATGTTTTGAGTGCTCACAGAAAGCAGTTGTTTCAATCGATGTGTGAAAGTCCGCATTCTCGTGGTGAAAAGTGTTGATTTTCCTGATTTCTTGAAATACAACTGGGAAACAAATGGTTGTTTACCAATTAAAATATACTATTCTACCTTGATCTAGTGGTAATGTTGCGTCCTGTTCAGTTTTTATCAAAAAACAGGGAACCGTTTACTCGACAGTGGTGCTGAGCCCTCAACCACCTTCTCTCGACAGGTCACATGAAGATCTTCCAAAATCAGTTTGCGCACAGCATCAATAGTTTCCCGAACAACAACTGACTTTGGATGCCCATCACGACAATCGTTTTGGAGTTATCTACGATTAAATACACTATAGATAAACACAGGTCCATGATGGAGCTTCATTGCCAAAAATTCAGTTAAATTCATCGATGCACTATTGCTGAGTTAATCCACGTCGAAAGTTGTAATAAATAATTAATACCCTTTTTCTGGTTGAGTTGAATATTTTAAGTTACTTTTAATGAAAAAAAATAGCGCTGTGTATGGCAAAATGTTCTGAGGATGTATAATCCCAAACTGTACGCTAAAGTTGTCAGTAGCCAGACAGCAACACTCAAGTCGCCAAAAATCGAAAAACACCTCTAATCGTATATATCTTTGAATGATTGAATGAAAAGATACTAGATCTCCTCTTTAGAAAGAATCAATCTATACAAAATTGCATAACAAATATCTTTTAAATCAAAAGGATTTCAAGCGATGTCAGAGCGTATGAGTGACATTTTGAAAAATTCCTAAATTTTCGTATTTTTGCCATCAAATTGATACCATTTCATAAAAATTAGTTCATAATCAAAAACCAGTATTTTCAATAAATTTTAAACAACATAATTAAAGTTTAAAAACAAAAAAAATTTCTCAGGAAAATAATTAATTACACGAAAATTGAGATTAACATTCAGTTCAAATGGCCAACACTTTAATTTTTGTGTTCTTTTACTAATACAAAAATACAATTACAAATATTCTATAAAAATTTAAATAAAATAAAAAAATCATTGTTTTACATTTTACACCTGCTTTTTATTAATCACGTCTAAGGAATATGTAAATAAATTTGCTATAATTGCATATGTATGTATGTAACACTTTCCTTAATTTATTTTCCTAAACAACAATTCGGTAATTTTGACGTCAAGTCTACGTACGTAGACAGCATATATATGTATGTGTGTATGTATTTCGGTTTTCTTTTTTTGCAAAAATAGTCAATTATTTTTGTTTGTTTACTAATTTTTGCACACTATTTGTTATTTTCGCTTATTTATCTTACAACATTGTAAACAAAAACAAGCAACGACATACATAAGCACATACATAAAAGCACTTGTACATTACAGTGTCCACACGAACAGACCGAATTGAATTGGCAATAGCATGCAATGGCAATAAGAGGAATACAAACTACATGTACAGATGTATATTGAAACTATGTATATGCATTTGTACATTTGTACTCTTGTATGTATATAAGTGGGTGTGTTAAAGTCTAATGATTTTATTATAGGCAATAACGACTATCTAAACGCTAATATATTGCTTCAAGTTATGTCAACTTATTTGAGATAAATAAAAAAACAAATCAACAACAATCAGTAAGAGTAATATATGTAGCTGCAAAAACCAAAACAACAACAAATGTATATTTTACGATTTATTTACATTTAACGAAATTGCATCCGCATCACGTCAAATATAGACACCTTTAACTTTATGACGTACTCTCACACACACAAACAATAAACATTTGACGAATGCCAAGTACCTATAGTCAAATGAACTAGTTAAAAACTAGTTCGAAACTAGTGCATCAAGCAAATCGAGCTAGCTAGCGTTGCGCGATGGAATTTTCCAGTGTTTGGCACCAAATGTACTTGTCTTATACTAAAAGTGTGTGGTGTCAAACTAGTTCAAATTGGATTCAAACTCGTACTAGTTCAAATTAGACTATTTGTATTCTACTTCTAAAATTGCTGGTTTTATTGTAACTAATTTTTTTTCTTCTAAAAATATTTATTTAATCGTATGTGATATTTTTTTATAATCAGGCAAGCAAAAAAGAACCTAAATAATTACAAATATTAAAGCGTGTTCTAAAATACATATCTTGAGAGTAATACAGAAAAATATTTAAAATATTTATTTATACATTTTGAATTAAAACATTAATTATTTTTTGCAACTGGTACCGATGTGGTATTTTTCGAACTAGTGCCACGAAAAAAAATATTACAGCGAGGGAAGGAACACTTGCACGCGCTATGGAAGACAACATAGAAACGCACATAAAACTATTGAAGTCTAAACTCTTGTTGATATATGAGAAAAACTACCTGACTATAGCAGACTCCTGTCTTGTAGTGGTTCGTTAACCCCGCTTAGGTACAGGTTTTATCAATCTAAGTCGGTCATCCAGTGGGAGCTTCGTGCAGCTTCGACAGGATTGGCCCAAAATGAGAGGGGGGTTAGATGAGTCCGTTTAAGGGGGCATGAGAAGAGGTAGTTATTTTCGTGAGGAGACTCTCGACATGCAGGGCATACGTTTGATATGCTGGGGTCGATTCTGGATAAGTAGGAGTTTAACCCGCTACAATATCCAGACCTAGGTTATGACAAGGTCACGCGGGTCTCTCGAGGCAACTCGAGCTCGTTGTCTGCAATGGCGGGTGGGTTTACTCCGAGCACGTCATTCACGGGAAGGGAGTCTTTGAAGGTGTTGACTGACTTCTGGTGAATGGCGCTTAGTGTTTGTCTGTACGCTGTCTTGTCCTGTGGTTGTTGTACGTATTGCTGGATTTTGTTTTCCAAGTCGAGTACTCCCTTTCTTATGTGCCTAGGTGGATGTTCAACTTCTATTAGGTGGCTATAGGGGTGCTCCCTACGGTAGCATCCCA